ATTTTCTTTGTTATTATCTATAACAATTGTTAATTTTATACAACAATTGTTGTATTTGTTATATATATATATATATATAAATGTTGTATTGTTAATTTTAAAAGAAGCAAAAATAATAACTATAAAAGCAAAGAATTACTCTTCACCAAAAATAACTCTCCAACCGTCTCACCCTCCCTCCTTTCCCCATTTAGATCCAAAAACTCTTACCCCAAAAATTTAAAATTGCAAAAGATCAAAAGTTCTCCCCAAAATTTTAAAACCCATGTAATAAAAACCTAAATATCCTTTCCCCTCTTCCCATATCCTTCTTGTCCGCCCCTCCCCTCACCCTTTTTATCCCAGGTTTTTGTTCATTTTTTTTGTTTCTAATGTTTTGTTATTTTTCTTTTGTAGGCTTTACGTAGCATTCTTCAAGCAGATGAGATAAGTTTTCAGAATATGAGATTTTTGTTTTACTCAGTTGTATGCTCTAAATTTTCTATTATGTAAGATTGAACCACAAATAATTTATCATACACAATTATATTCTATATTTTTGCAGGAGATTATTGTCCTAACTTGAGTCAATGTGTACTACAATGGATTGTATATGTTTATTAATGTAAAAGAAATTTTCTGATTAGGTATGAGTTTTATAATTGCTACTAAAATTTGGGATTTATATCTATAGATTTTAAGAAGTTTAAAAGTTACAGGTTTGCTTACTACTTTGTTTACTTTGTATTATTTTTTTTGCTAAATATTTTTGTAAAAAAAATGATCATAGACAAATATATTTTTTCCTTGAAATTTTAAATTATTATGTTCTTGGTGCTAAAATATTTACCAATATTGATAGGCATATTTATGGAATAAAAGCATATAAATGACAAATTGGGACCATGTTGAACAAACTAAGGTGCAATTGAAGATTGTGGAAGGAGAGATAGGGGAAGACTATGTTGCTTTGAACTCAAACAAGATGATGTCTTACAAGAATTGTATATTATGACTATTCTCAAAATTGTAGAATGCAATTATTTATAAGTTGAGAATTATTTTTGAATCCCAAAAATGTATTCGTGGTTAAATTATGTAACTTTTTTTATTATCAAAGCTTGTGGAAAATCCTTTCAAATTTATAGTAATAAAATTGTTGAAATTTATTTCTTAGCTACATTATAAAAATTTTTGTGATCAATAATGTTTATGTCAGTATTCTTCAATTTGTAGCAATGAATTTTTGTAATTAGGACTAAATCTATATGTAATTATAAAAAATAATTAGGCGATACATTTTCACTTTTCATAGCAAAATTAAAAATATTAGCTACAATTTATGTATGTCATGGCAAAAAGTTTGAAATCTTAGCTTTGTGAAAAAATATTTGTGGCAAATGCTTTAATTTTATAGCTATAATTTTTTTAATTTGTAGCTAAATACAAGTATCATTGCCACAATATTAAAAATATAAAATAGCCACCAATTTTAATTTTTAATTGCAAATAAATCAAGTCATTTGCTACAATAGAATATATTGTGTCTACAATATAGAAGTTGCTATAGATTTAATTTGTTGTGGCAAAAGAGCAAAAAATATTTGCTACAAATATATATTTCATAGCAAGAGTTTTGTACTACTATAGCTACAACACAATTTTTATAGTAGCTATAAGTATTAGTCCTTAGCCACATACCATGTAAAGTCTGTAGCTAACTTTTAGCCACCCTACATCTTGCCACGAATGCTACAAAAAAATATTTTATGTCTAAAGCGTTTAGCTACAAAAAATTTCATATTTAGCTACAATGTGTTTTGTAGCTTTAAATGCATTTTCTTGTAGTGTTAGTACAAGGAAACTTAGATGTGGCTGGTTATTATACTAAGGTGAAAAGGATTTGGGATGAGTTGGATAGTCTTGACACTTGTGCTCATTGCACTTGTGCTCATTGCACTTGTGCCTGTTCTTGTGGAGGCAAGAACAAGACTCTTAAATCTCATCAAGACGGGAGGCTCATTCAGTTCCTTATGGGACTGAATGATGCATATGCTAGTGTTAGAAGCAATATCTTGATGATCTCACCCTTGCCGGGTGTCAATCAATCTTACTCATTGTTGATCCAGGATGAGAAGCAAAGAGAAATTCACACTTTTCAGCATCCCATTGAGTCAGCTTTCATGGCTGCAAGACAACAATATGGGGTTAAAAAATTCAACACATTAGAGAAGAAAGGAAATTTTGAAGGATCAAAGAATAACTTATTCTGCACTTATTGTAAGAAGACAAGGCACACAGCACAGAACTGCTATAGGTTGATTGGTTTCCCAGCATATTTCAAATTCACAAAAGGTAAGAAAACTCAAGCACAAAGTAATGCAATATATACAGGTACTGATGCAGGAAATCCTTCAATTACTTTCCCTGAGAAAGAATTCACACGGGAACAATATCAGCACATGTGTCGAATGCATCAAGATTTTCAACATCTCAAGTTAGGCACTCAAGGTGAATCAAGCTCTGAGGCTCATATATCTGCTAACTGTGCTGGTATAGCTCAAACTCTTTCTACTTCTGTACATTTTTCTAAATCTATCATCTGGATTTTGGATTCAGGGGCATCTGAGCATATGACCCATGATTCCAATCTTTTGTTCAATATTCACTCTCTTCTCACTCCTGTTTATGTTAATCTTCTTAATTCACAAAGAATCAAAGTCACTCAAGCTGGAAGTGTCAACATTTTACCCGATTTTACTGTTGTAGATGTACTCTTTGTTCCTAGTTTTAGGTGCAATCTTCTTTCAGTTCACAAAATCTGTGCCAGAGCTAATTCATCTCTTATTTTTACTTCATTTGGAACTGTTTTGCAGGCCCCTTCAATGAAGAGGCCAATGTTACTTGGGGAGGCTAAGCAGGGCATCTATCTTCTTCACACCATCAAGCCTACTACTAGTTCCAATCCTCTAGACGTACCTAGTTTATCTAATTCAGTTTTCACTTTTTGTAATGAAAGCAGAAACCTATCTAGTTCAGTTTCTTTTTCTGCTACTGTTCCTACTGATGTAAGCCTATGGCACAATCGTTTGGGGCATTTGCCTTTAAGTAATATGAAGAATATTTCATCTCTTTCTTATTCTTCTAATAATTCTATAGATGCTTGTGATATATGTGCCAAGGCCAGACAAGTTAAAATGTCATTTTCCTAAGTCTTAGATCTACCACTAATGTCTTTGATCTAATTCACATAGATACTTGGGGGCCATATAAAACACCTACTCTTGAAGGATTTAGATATTTCCTTACCATTGTTGATGATTTTAGTAGGGCTACTTGGATTTTTCTCCTTTCTACTAAATCAAATGCTTTCACAATCCTAAAACAGTTTCTACCTATGACTGACAGACAGACAATTTGGTAAACAAGTTAAAACTATCAGATCCGACAATGCAATGGAACTTGGGGGAAGTTTTGAAATATCAAAATTCTTTTCTTCAAAGGGTATCATTCATCAAACAACTTGTGTATACACCCCTCAACAAAATGGAGTTGTTGAAAGGAAACACAAACATCTACTTGAGACTTCTAGAGCCCTTTTATATCAATCAAAGTTACCCATTCATTTTTGGGTTGATTGTATCCTCACTGCCACTTTTCTAATTAACAGATTTCCATCTCGCATCCTTAACTTCAAAACTCCTTATGAAATCTTATTTGGTAAGCCTCCTTCTTATCATTCTCTTAGGAGCTTTGGTTGTTTAGCATATGCCTGTACTATCTCTCAATTGAGAGACAAGTTTGATCCTAGGTCTATACCAAGTGTTTTCTTAGGTTATCCTTTTGGAAAGAAGGGTTACAGGCTTTTGAATCTTCAGACTATGAAGGTTTTTATTTCTAGACATGTTAGATTCCATGAATCTATTTTTCCTTTTTCCTCAACTTCAACTCATCAGCATCTATTTCCTGTCCCTGCTCCCCATTCTCTTTCTTATCCTGATCATGATTCTTTTGACCTTTCACTCCCTGTATCTATTTCTACTTCAGATTCAGTTCCTGTCCAGTCCTCCATTTCATCTTCCCCTCTCCATGCCGACATTTCTTCTCCTTCCACAACTCCTTCACCTCCTGTCCCTATCACTAGGAAGTCTAGTAGAGTCAAACAACCTCCTTATTATCTTGCTGATTATTTGTGCAATTCTGTTTTTCTCACACCTCAGCTTACTGATTCGTGTTTTTCAGTTTCTCTTGACCCTACTATTTTACCTTTCTCTGCTCTATCCTCTACAAATCAATCCCTCCTTAATTCTACTTCATACATTTTTGAGCCCACCTCCTATTCTCAAGCTGTTCTCCATCCTGGTTGGCAAGATGCTATGGCTAAAGAGTTTGATGCCCTTGAGGCCAACAAAACTTGGGACGTTGTTCTTTTGCCTCCTGGGAAGAAGGCTCTTCCTTACAAATGGGTTTATAGGGTGAAGTATAAATCTGATGGTTCTTTGGAAAGGTTCAAAGCTCGTTTGGTTATTCGGGGAGACACTCAACGTGAGGGCATTGATTTTACTGAGACTTTCTCTCCAGTGGTTAAGATGACCACCATCAGATGTTTACTTGCCATTGCAGTTAAAAAGAATTGGAATATTTCTCAGTTAGATGTTAATAACGCCTTTCTACATGGTGATTTACAGGAAGAGGTTTTTATGAAATTTCCTGCTGGTTTATCACCTCCCACTCCTCATCACGTCTGTCTATTGAAGAAATCTCTTTATGGTTTACGACAAGCCTCTAGGCAATGGTATGTCAGGCTCACAGCAGCTCTCAATTTTAAAGGTTACACTTGTTCTCTAAATAATTATTCCCTGTTTTCCAGACAACTCTCCGACAAAGTTACTATTGTGGCTGTTTATGTTGACGACATTTTAATTACTGGGGATGATATTACTGAACAATCGTCTTTAAAAGCTTTTCTTCACTCAGAATTTTAGATTAAGGACCTTGGTCATGCTAATTTTTTCTTAGGCATGGAATTATTGAGAGAACCTCATGGTTTAGTTATAACTCAGAGAAAGTTTACCTTGGACTTATTGTCTGAATTTGACTGTCTTCATCTCAAGCCCGCCTCTTCACCTCTAAATCCTACACACAAGCTTCTTCCAGATGATGGTGATCCTTTACCTGACCCTACTTTCTATCGTCGGCTGTTGGGAAAGCTTAATTTTTTAACCCATACACGACCAGATTTGTCCTTTGCTGTTCAGACTCTTAGTCAATACATGCAATGTCCTCGTCAACCTCATTTAACCGTTGTTTATCACTGTCTCCGATATCTCCTCCGGGATCCTGGACTGGGTTTATTTATGTCTTCACATGCCTCTTTTCGTCTTCTTGCTTATTGCGATTCTGATTGGGGGAATTGCCCAGTCACTCGTCGTTCCATCAGCGGGTTTTACATCAGTCTAGGGGGTTCTCCGATCTCCTGGAAGTCAAAGAAACAACCTTTAGTGTCTCTTTCTTCTGCCGAAGCAGAATATCGCTCTATGAGAAGAGTGGTTGCAGAGGTTACCTGGTTGGTTCGGTTGCTTGAAGACTTGTCTGTTCTTCCATCTTTACCGGTGACCCTTCACTCTGATAGCTAAGCGGCTATCCACATAGCTCGTAATCCAGTTTTCCATGAACGTACAAAGCATGTGGAGTTAGATTGTCACTTCGTTCGCCAACAATTTTTGGCTGGCATCATTTCACTCTCTTATATCCCCTCCAGGTCTCAAGTCGCCGACATTTTCACGAAACCTTTGTCTGGTCCTGCTCATCGGAACATCATTGGCAAGTTGGGTGTGGTCTCCACCCCTTCCAACTTAAGGGGGGATGTCAGTGATCACAACACTGAGTTTCACCATGGAAGTGAACTCGATTCAGAACTCAAAGAGAATGGACAAAAGATGAGGGACAAAGTTTGATTATCTCTCATCTTTAGGACATTTTTATTCTCTTTCCTATATCTCGAAATCATCTCAACCTTTGATCACAATCAGATCTTATCTTCATCAAGCTCATCTTGATCGTTCATTTGGGAATCATGACAACTGTCCAAAGAACATTCCAGATATATTCCTTTATATATGTAGATATTGTTTTTACTTATTTTTATACATTTACAATTAGTCAGTTAGAGAGAAACAAATAAGAGAAGGACAGCTGGTAGTATAGTAACAGATTTATTCTTTTCATTTTGTATAAATGCACATGCACAGTTTGAATGAAAAACGCAGAAGAAATTTTTCTCTATTGCTTTCTTTCTCTTTCAATAATAAACAAAATGGGGAACACAAAAATGAAGAGGAAGGGCACAACAATGATTGGGTCCATAGTAAATATGATTATCAACTATTTTAGGGGTTATTTATAGGAAGCCACCGACCAATAACGATATATATTTTTTTAAAGGTATAAATTTCAAATTCATAATAATACCTGCTCCAACTTTTTTTGATTAGGAATATACATGAATTGTTTTATTGAATCTGATCTCATGTAGTCATGTTAGCCCTAGTGGATGCTTGCACTTGAGATGATTTTGTTAATATATGATTATGTATGATTTAAGTACCTCATTTCGTTCCAAGTCAACAGGAAAATTTGACATTATAAAATAAGGGAATCTAGTTTAATTTTTTTTTTATCAAGTCGATGTAGGCATATATTAAAAGATTATGTTCCTACAAATTCTTTAGCCAAAAAAAAAAAAGCGTATTGTACTTAAATTCCAAATAATTTTTTTCAATATTTACAATTGAATTTGTCCTATTCACCATTTTTAATCCAGACCCTTACAAAGTCATCAATATGAAGTTTCGTTTACAAGTAGTGTTCGCTTTCAGTATTTCTATTCTACCTTCTATTTTTGTTGTATTATTATTTAGTTATGTATATCTAATAAAAAAAAAAAATGAATCAATGTCATGTAACACTTATCGTATTAAAATAAATTCGTGTTCAATATATGTACAATAGAAAATCAAAACAAAAAATTCACAACTAATACCCTTGTCAAAAGTGCAAATTAATCTCCACATCCACCACAACCCCCGCAACCACCCCCATCACCATCACCATCACCGCAACAACAACCCTGGTACGTACCAACAACTCTCGCGGTGGCTTCTCCGGCCTCAGCCAAAACAACGATATTCCCATCTCTTTGTTCTGAGGCCGGAGTAGCCATTTCGACATCACCTCCTCCTTCATCCGTATCTGTCTCGCGTTTGATTCTGCATATGAGACACAAAAACAACGAAATGACTATTGAAAAAAGCCCAAATGAGAACCACAAAAACGTTAAGTCCATACTAAATATAGTTGAAAACTATATGTTTTACATTTTAGAGGCTATTTATAGCAAGCCACTATTATTTTTTCCTCTCTGACGTATACTTCATAGGGCATATAGAAATATTTTTTATGTACTCAAGTTGTAATATTTTTTGTTTTTCATATATAATGTTTTAAATCAATTCACCAGCGCTTACTTTGGAACTTTAATTTATCATTTCATTTTTAGTTCCTTTCAAGTCTAGGAGTATCATGAATTGTTCTATGATGAATCTGAGTTAATATAATTGGCCTCGAAGATGTTTGACTTAACATCATTTAATTAATTTATGAATTTTAGTACCTTTCTTTCACCCAAAAAGATGTTAAAGGAAATATGTGGATGAAATTTTATCTATGTGTCGCACACTATATATATCCTGCCAAAAAGATGTCCTAACACGGTAGGAAAAGAGATATTTCGTGGCAATAAAATTTCTTTATATATATTGCTACATAAATATTTAGCGGTAATTGAGTTAATGTTATTGCATTTAGAGTTGTTAAATGAAAGTCATTTAGTGACATTTGTATACTGTAAAAAAAAAAAATAGTGCTTATCATCCGAGCAACTCACTCTTGTCGTTTTATTTTGATGGTTGATACTTTTTCCTTTTAATTAAGTTTTGCTTCTATTTGGAAATATAATTTTAGGCTTGTGAGATTTATTTTCTAGTTCAAGGAGGATAAATATACATGGGCCTATAATATATATATACACACACGTGCACTCGTGTGGGCCCAACATATATTATTTATTTTATTATATTTTATGTGTCACACATGAAATTTGAAGAGCCACTCAATTTTTTAATATATATTTTCTAAAAAAATAAGTTTCTAATTAGTGTAACTTATAAAATTGACATAATTTTTAAATAATATGTTATTTTCTCTGTCCCAATTCATGTGGCACGGATTAAATTTGAAGAGTTTTATTTGTGGTACTTTTAATTTTTCAAATTCAATGAAATGTTTTTTACTAATAATATTAACATTAGAAATAAAAAAGTGATTTACAGATAAAAGATAGAGAAATAAAATAATTAAATGCATTACTTATTAAGTAGTACTTCTTTGGTATTTTTTTTTTTTTTATATATATTTACCTATGTAAATAAGGTTTCTTAAATAATAATAATATTTTTAACTATATAAAACAGAATATTTTTTATGACATTTAAAAAATAAAAATATTTTTATGTAAGAGTGAAGATGGAATAACTAAAACATGAATACGAAATATATTTACGTAATACAGAATAATTAACACTAAATTAGATAAATGATGAAACATATGTTGCTTGGGTTTGATTTTGGGACCATGTACATGAAATGTCATGCTGCAACCAGTAAGCTAAGCAGCTAAATATGAGGAAAAGCACACAGCTGAAGCAAACATATAGACGGCCGTTCTAGCCTCTTCTATATATTAAGTATTAGTAATATATGTATATAACAATAAATTCACAACTAGCCGCAACCACCTCCACAACCGCCGCCACAACCACCACCATCACCATCACCACCACCGCTACAACAACAATCACCGCCACCATTATCACCAACATCATCACCGCCACTATCATCACCACCGCAAAAACAATCTATCAGCATCTCTAGTACTGCTGATTCCGGTTGCTGCTCCACTACCACCCCCTTGTTCCTATCCCCGCTACCAACCACTGTTGCTGTCGCTGCACCACCGGCGCCGACATCTTCTCCGGCACCGGCCAAAACAACCAAGTTCCCGTCCTTCAATTCGCCGGCCCCACTACCCATTTCGACATCGCCTCCTCGGGCTTCATCCTTATGCTTCTGCCGTTTGGCACGGTGTTTGGCGCGGCATTTGCCGCACAAAACGATCAAAATGGGGAACAGAATAACGCCGATTATGGGCGGAATAATGGAGATTAAGTCCATGCTAAATATGCTTGCTTCAAAACTATTTTAATTAGAGGCTATTTATAGCAAGCTAACGAGTAACGACCAATTATAATATTCTATCCGTTTCAATTTGTTTGTCTGAACTTCATGACTTGACACCAAATTTAAGAAAATAAAGTAGACTTTTTTTATGTTAAATTATAGAGATGTAGAATGTTTCAAAGTATCTTTAGTTTAAAATGAGTGTAGACAAGTAAACACTTAAAAAAGTTGTACAAATAGACACGCATCTTATATGACAATTTGAGTCATATGTGGCGTCCTACGTGTATATATTATGTACGTAATTATAGGGCATAAATATAAAATAAAGCCAAATTAAAAGACATATTTATGTATTATGCCTTTTTAAAAAAATAAGAAAACAAAAGTAAGATAAACCATATTAAGACGGGAGAGTCTTATTTTTTCCTCTCTGACGAACTTAACAACCCATATGATTATTATTTTTATGTACTCAAGTTGTAATGTTTTTGTCTCTTGATAATCTTTAAAACAAATCACCAGCGCTTACTTTGGAGCTTTTCATTTTATATATTTTTAGTGCCTTTAGAAATCCAGGAGTATCATAATATATTTGATAATAAAAAATATTATATAGAGCAATGTTTTGTTTTGATAAAAATAATATTTGATGTCTTGATCTATGTGAGATATTTGAGACGTCTCTTCAAAAAATTAAATTATAGTATCTCTTTTTATAAGCATGTTTAGAATAGAATAGTCTCCTAATAGATCTTAGGGTTTAAAAAACTTTGTATTTATATTAACATATTTATTGAATTAAAGAACATGTACAAAATATATTACTACTTGATTATTGTTTTTTTTTTATGTAGTCAAGTTGTAATAAATCAAATTACCAGCGTTTTCTCAGAACTTTTCTTTTCATTTTTTAGTTCTTGAATCCTAGCTCATATGTGACATGACAAATGTTTGACATGAGATAATTAGTTTATTAATCTATGTACATAATTAAAAATATTACTAGTATTAGTTTATTAATCTAGTACAATTTAAGTACCTTTCTTTCTAATTTGAATTGCGTGTCAGTCAAACAATTAATTCTAGGGTTTAAATGAAGAACAAAATTAACATAATAAAAAAGGATTGCGTGCAGACAAACTAAAAGAACATCACTTGAATATAGCTATAGGGCGCAGGAATCAGGATACTTATATAGGAAATTTAATATCTTGCAGATTCTTGCTGATGTTAATAACATGTTTATTTTATTTTGAAAATTATTTAGTGTAATACCCACAACTTTAAGACTAATATATAGTACCACAAAAATGCAAATTAATTAATATCACTACTAAGTATTCATTGAATTTATTGTCAAAAGTTTGTCTTTTTACATGCAAATCGGAATAAGATCTAAAAGGAGAGCTATTGACCTATCTACTTTAAGGAGGGACTCTTTTCTACTTGACTACTTATTACCCAGGCATTGCTTACAGTTACAATATTAGGAAAACTGATCAGCCAATTTTTATATGGACAAGTCGATATATGACCTCAAATATATGACTTTGAAGTTAATCTTGATAACGTTTAACTTGTTTCTGAAGTTTTATATGGTAAAATTTTAGACACAAATTAATGGCCAAACATTTGTCTTTTTGCTTGATGACTAAAATTCAAGTGACACTCAAAAAACTTCAATTTTATTTTGTTGGCTAGTTTTTTTTTCTCTTTTTTAAAAGTTTTATTTCTACTATATATAGCTTTATCCTTTAGAGATTTATTTCCTAGTTCAACCAGATAAACTAGGAAATTTCCGTTCGTCATCGTTCAATACCTTTTCCACATGATAAATAACTATATTTCAACCACATAATTAAAATGACAATTTCGCAAGTAAAATTTCATGAAAAATAACGTAAACTTATAATCAACTTTAAATTACAATATACAAATATACAAGAGAAAATCAAGAAAGGAAGGAGGAAAAGGGTCTATAATGCACATTTATTCATAACCTAGTTTGCAATGCCCTAACAATTATAGTGAATCTCATGCGGCTTTAATTGATATTTCATGGTGCTCTAACAAAAAATATAACAACTAAACATTGTTATAGCTAGAGAGGCAAATAAAGTGACAGATGCTCTAGCAAATATGTCACTCAAATTCAAATTCCGAAGATTTTTTTTTGCAAGAAGTTGATCTTCCAAAAGTGGCTAATTAAGGTCTTCTTAGGATGAATAAATTGGATTTTCCCACCTTTTGAAGAAGAGCCAAGAAGATTAATACCTGACAATTTGATCCACCTTTAATACTTTTCTTTATATGCATTAACAATTGTAGTTTAAATGCATTAGTATAGTTGTTTTGTAAAGATCTTGGGATCAGAATCTTAATTAATAGGATAGGATCTTTCTTGTCGTAAGATGTAAAAGGAGGTTGGTCTCTATGCCCCCTTCATTTGGTTGTTAAAATTATTTAAAATAAATTATATAAAAGGGTTTTCAATGCAGATATCAGACATTAAAAATTCTAAATAAAAAATTCACAACTATCTTATCACAAATGCAAATTAATCTCCACATTCATAATATCACAACCATCATCATCACCACAACAACAACGTTGGTATGTACCACAACCACATGCGGATATATATCCGCCGCTGCATCACCGGCAACGGCAGCTCCTCAACCAAAACAACTTTTTTTGATTGACTTGACCATGATTAGGAGTATCATGAATTGTTCTACTGAGCTCATATTAGGCCTAGTGGATGCTTGTAATACTTAAGATAATTTTGTTAATCTATGATTTAAGTACCTCATTTCATTCCAAGTCAACAGAAAAAATAGACAATTTAATCTTTTTGGTTTTTTAATCAAATTGATGTGGGCATATATTAGAAGATTATTTTGAAATTGATTGAGTACATGTACGAATAAGTACTATATGTTCCTACAAATTCTTTCGACGAAAAAAAAAAACATTCAATGAATAGTCGTTGAGAGTCTGTTTGACCAAGCTTTGAGAAGGTTAAATCACTTTTTTGTAGCCAAATTTTCAGTTCTTCATCGTCCAACACCTTTTAGATGGGATAAATTCACAAATTATTATATTTTTCTTTTAAGTTTTGCTTCTATTTGGAATTATTGTAAGTAGATAATTGTATATGTTAAGTCATTGGGATTTCAACATCATTATTCACGATACCCCTTTTAAAGAAAATTAATCTCTTTCTATTCTGCTTCTCTATTCAGTATATATATGCAGCACAAAAAGAGCAAAAATGGAAACACAAAACTAAAGAATATAAGTATAATAATTCTTAAATCCATACTAAATATATATGCTTCTCAACTGGTCGGGTACTACTTTAGAGGCTATTTTTAGTTGCAACATGAGGAAATTCGATCATAGGTTGATGTGAGTTTAACTTTTATGTGCGGATAATAATTTGCTTACTTTGACACCATGTTAAAGTGTGTGACCATCTCATTAAAAGCTTAAGGTGTTAGAGAGAGCACATTTTTATTAGTTAATGATATTATCAACAACAATAGATAGTAATAGTGTGTTGTTTTGTTACTCGTCCACACTAATAGTTGTAGTAATGTTTCTGTAGTTTTTTGTCTTATGATTTTTGTTACTATATCTAGTGTTTCTTTTACTTCAATTATTATTATTATTTTTTGTAGTTACTGTTCAAAATGTTTTGCTATATGCTTTCACTTCCGTTTAGTTCTTTTTCTCTGGATTGCTTTGGATTGTTATTCCTTCATTCGAGGGTCTATAAGAAATATAGTTTGTCTACCTTTGCGCTAGGGATAAAATTTGCATCGGTTATCTTTTTTTTTGGTTGTAGTTATTGTTGAGAATGTTTTGTTATGCTTTCACTATCGTTTATTCTTTTTCCTTCTGTCGAGGGTCTATAAGAAATGTATAGTCAATAAAATCTGTGTATACTCTGCCTTATACTATGAACTCAAAGTTGTAATAAAATCAAATCACCAGAGCTTTCTCGGAACTTTACTTTTCGTTGTTTTAGTTGATAACATTCGAGCTCATATTTGACTAGGTAAATGCTAATGAGATTAATTTATTAATCTACATACTTGATCAAATATTAGTTTATGAATTTATAAATTTAAGTAGCTTTCTTACCAATTCGATTTGCGCGTTAGCCAAACAATTAATCTAGTTGGTGATGGAAGACCTAATGTAGAATATGTAATCTCAACAGGGTCTTAGGGTTTGAAAAACTTTGTATTTAATTTGTAATAAAATATTTACTGAATATAAACAAAGTATATTACTTGAATAATTTTTTTATATACTCAAAGTTGTAATTAATCAAATCACCAGCGCTTTCTCTGAACTTTTCTACTTCATTTTTTTTTTAATTCCTGAATCCAAGCTCATATTTGACATGGCAAATGTTTGACATGAGATTATTAGTTTATTAATCTATCTACTTAATCAAAATTTAGTTTATTAATCTACAATTTTAGTACCTTCCTTTCCAATTCGATTTGCATGTCAGCCAAACAAGCCTAAAAATAGAAAATGTAATCTTGATTTAATGCTACAGCTTGAATTTGTACGTCAATATTATGGTTGACCTTCTTTTAGGGTTTAAATGAAGAACAAAATTAACATAATAAAAAAGGATTACGCGCAGACAAAACAAATTAAGAAAACGTCACTTTAATATAGCAGGTACATATATAAATTAAAATCCTGCGGATGTGAATAATATGTGTAATAGCCACAACTTTAGATTTTATATTGCCACAAAAAGATGTGTAAATCAATTAATATCACACTATATCTAAAATGATCTTTATCGATAATTAATTAACGATAATAAATTAATATGGCTAAATATGTACTTTTAAAGGTAATTTAAACACTCTTTCTAAATGTTCCTTAAGTCTACAACGACATTGAATCTAATAACAATTAGCTGATAAAAGTTTTAACTATCGTTATTAATATTTATATTTATGACAATAAAAACTATTTTTGTTACAATATCACTAGCTACTAGCTTGCTATTCAATGCTTTAGCCGTGAGAGATTTATTTCCTAGGTCAACTAAGAATTTTACATCGTCCTACACCTTTTCCACATGATACTATTTATCAGCCAGACAAATTAGATAATTTCATAAATAAAATTTCATCATAAATAGCATTAAAAACAAAAAAGAAAAGGAAAAAACTACAATCCACATTAATTTATACTAATATACAAATACAAAACATCGAGTTAAAAAATAATAATCAAAACTAGTAGTGTCAAAACTACAAATTAATTCAAATTAACCGCCACATCCACCACAACCACCGCAACCACCACAACCACCGCCATCACCACCACCACCACCGCAACCACCACAACCACCGCCATCACCACCACCACCACCGCAACCACCACAACCACCGCCATCACCACCACCACCACCGCAACCACCACAACCACCGCCATCACCACCACCACCACCGCAACCACCACAACCACCGCCATCACCACCACCACCACCGCAACCACCACAACCACCGCCATCACCACCACCACCACCGCAACCACCACAACCACCGCCATCACCCCCCCCCCCCCCGCAACAACAACCCTGGGACGACGACGTACCAGCATCTGCAGTAGTGGTTGCTGCAGCACCACTGTTGTTATTATTACCCTTGTCCCTATCACCGCTACCAACCACTGCCGCTGCCGCTACACCACCGGCGACGGCAGCTGCTCCGGCGCCGGCCAAAACAACCAAATTTCCGTCTCGTAATCCGCCAGCCCCACCGCCTATTTCCACATCGCTTGCTTGAGGTTTTTTCTTATACTTTTGGCATATGGCGCACAAAATGAAGGAACCGGGTATCAGAATTACGCAGAGTATGGGCACAAGAAGGAGTAACTCCATAGTGAAAATATGGTTGTTAACTATTTTAATTACACCCTATTTATAGCAAGTCAATATTGTTGCAGTAAATTTTAAGGATTAGACATATATCACTACCATATATATTAATTTTATCTTTAATTTCAAACAATTACATATATTATCATTTTTAATTTTTTTTACCATATCACTATCATATATATTAATTTTATCTTTACTTTCAAATAATTACATATATTACCATTTTTAATATTTTTTTACCATATATTATTAAAGATACAATCATAATCATATCCTTTAAAACTAGGATTAATTAATTATTTTTATATTTAAACTCCAAAATTAGTGTTTTAATAAAAAAACAAATATCTTTCTCTCAAAGAGTATGAGTTAGGGTCAAACTGTAACTCTTCATCTTCACTTAATCAGTCGAAATTAACTGCAAAGAAACATGATGTTCTACGTACAGCTTGTCAACACACATCAAATTCTTAGCCTTTGATTTTCCCACTCTCAAATCGAACCCCCACGAATCAACCATTTTTTCTCTCAAGAGAGACACCTCTCGCGTGTAGAGACAATGGGTATCGTTGTAAGCAGAGATCTCAAGCCCAATAGATTTATCAAATTAATTTGACATTGATGATGATACCGATTGCATACCTTTTATACTATGGATCAACCAAGAAAGTTCGCGTCACTTCTCCCGTCGGATCTAGACGCAGTGAGCAACACCGATGAATCAAAAGGTGAAGTAAACAGTGCCGCGGTGAGATGCCTGACCACCCACGAATGTAATCGAAAAGTTTCAATAAGTAGAGATTTAAGCATGTATTTGACACATTATTAATGTATCTGATATATTTTTGAGATACAATTAAATGTGTCTAGTTTTTGTCTGTGTATCTTATTAACTGTGTATGTATCTAATGAATATACTGGAGATTTACGCATTATTGGAAATTTACGCATGAATTTGACACAATTTGTTCTTGTATGATTATCATGTATCTAAGTGTTTAGTTTGTTGGATACATTATATATTGGTAATAGATGCATCAAATTAATGATTTTTTTTATTTTAGGAGTAATAAAATGAAACTAATCAAATTAAATGACCAAGATATACATGTTTTTGTCTTTTATTAATAATATTAATAAACTTATTATATAAAAGAATAATAAAATAAAATAAATTAAACATAGATACACTCCTTGATTTCCGCTTTATATTAAGAAATTTAATTAATTTAAATTTCTAGAATTAATTGTCCATGTATTTTGAAAATCCTCAATTACTCCTCTAATTAAGGAAATCCATTACAACCAATTAATTTGAGCAAATAAAATATGTATCTCGATTTTAAAATTCCAGATACATGTATCTCGATTTTAAAACCCATCAGTTACATGTATCTTGTGGATTCAGAGTCATGTATCCTAAGCACGAAATATGATAGTGGGAGTAATATTTGAAACTATCAGGAATCTTAGTAATTAGGACCTAAACTAGTGGGATTTATTTAGTTTGCCCAAATTTTAAAGTGATGAAAAATAATTGTTATCACAAATAAAATATGATGATATAGTGATTTTATGATCATCCCTTGATTATTTTTCTTTACATTGTTAATGATATATTTCTTGAACTTAATATGATATGGACTTTCGTATGATATATTTGTAACTGCCCAGAACATCGAGCAACAAGGCTTTGAGAAAGATAAAATTTAATGTTTTGTTGTGAATACCTAACACTTTGTGAGATATTCGACTTGCCTTCCAATGGATAAGTGTCCTTTTTTTCATAGGCTTGAACTAGGTTTAGGATAGAATAGCCTGACTCGAAGAATTTCTATGAATAAAGTATTTATTATTTAAAAATATTTATTGAATATTTACCAAGTACATCACTTGACAAGTTTATTTATGTACTCAAAGTCGTAATAAATCAAATCACCAGCACTTTCTCGGAACTTTACTTTCCATTTTTTTAGTTCCTAAATCCCAACTCATATTTGACCTGGTAAATGCTAATGAGATTTGTTTATTAATAAATATACTTGATCAAGGATTAGGTTATTAACCTACAATTTTATAGTACCTTTATTTGCAAGTAGATTTGCTTGTCAGCCAAACAATTAATATAATTGGTGATTAATACCTGAGTATTCTTTGTCTGAGTCATACAATATCCAGAAAAAAGGAAGACCCAATTAACAATTATCTTAATAAACTCAATGTAATCTTGATTTAATGTTATTGTTTGAATTTTTAAGTCAATATTATGGTTGCCGAACTTCTTGGACATATAAATGAAGAACAAAAGTGACATAATAAAAAAGGATTACGTTGTAGACAAACTAATTAAAATAATATCGCATGAATACCGACTAAATAAATTAAAATCTTGCAAATGTTAATAACACGTTTAATATATTTGAAAAAAATTTAGTGCAATATTTCTTGGTGGGTTGGGCCTTAGTTACACCTTGGGCCAACAAACCAGTCCATTTTAAAAGGGGTAAATTAGACAAAAAGTCAATTAAGTTAAACTTTTTAGGGAAAACTACAGAAATACTTCACTACCATATATATTATTATTACTTATACTTTCAAAATATTATGTATATTACCACTAATTAAGAGTATCCTATCATTATTAAGGAAAATACACTTAGATACATATATTTTTCCTATCAGATTCACAAAAATAAGGAGAGAGTCAAGTGAGATTCGTATGTATCACGACACATGCGAATCATATTAGTTACACGCTATATACAAGTATATGTATGTATTTGATGTTCTAGAACAAATTACACATAATTTTGACCCCATTGTATCCCCAGTTACATATATTTGAACGTATCTTAATGTATATGGACAACCCAAAATATCGCAAAACACGTAATATTGCAAACTAAAAGGTATCTAATTAAGTAATATGCTCCCAAACTAGTAGGATTTATGTAAGTTCCCCAATTTTTTATACAAAAAAAATAGCTCACTTAAAAAAATAAGCCACTTATTACACTATAATAAGTGGTCATTTGACATTTTTAACTTTCAAAATTTGGCCAGTCTTCTTCTTCATCCTTATTCTTCGTCTTCTTATTCTACTGCCTCCTTCTTTGTCTTCTTCGTTTTCTTCTTCTCCTCTTTTTTTATTCGAGGTAGCATTTACGTGAATTGTTTCAAACGAATTATATATTAAAAAATTCAAAACATCGAGAGGATTTCATATCTTAAATGTAGGGTCGTTTAGAGGTGATTTTGAGTTGATCGAGATTGAATAATCAGTGTATACTTCATGTATAGTTAAGTTATATTCAATTTTTGATTGTATCATAGTGTATAGTCATTGTATAGCTCATGATAAACAATTGTATAGTCCGTGTATATTTTATGTGGTTTTTAGCAATATATATTGTACCGTCAGTGTATACTTCCTATGACTTTTAACTACTCCCTTTGTCCCAATTTATATGACTTACTTTCGTTTCTAGTCAGTTCCAAAAAGAATGACACATTTCTATATTAAGTAACAATTTAATTTCAAAATGTCCATTTTACCCTTAATGAAATGATTTATAGTCACACAAATTTCTATCATTCATTTTAGACCATAAGTTTTAAAAGTCGTCATTCCTTTCTTAAACTTCATGCCGAGTCAAAGTACCTCACATAAAACGAGACGGAGAGCTTATTTTTTATGTATAAAAAAGCATGACTATATTAATTGTAAAATAAATACTTTATTATATATATTTGAAATTAGTTCTTTTAAAGAAAGAACTAGACTTACTACAACTTTCAAAGGGTGATACTCAAAGTTCATGAATGTCAAACTCAATTAAGTGTTTGGATTCACAACTTATCACATTTCCACATCGACTACTCCTTGATCCTTATCCTTATCGCGCATGCGACGATATATTTTGTAAGAAATAACCGAAATAGGTATCATAAGAACGCCAAATATGATCGCTAAAATGAGTCCGTTCATCGTAAATATGCTTAACAACTATTTTAATTAGAGGCTATTTATAAGGAGCCACCGACCGATTACGGTATTATTATTTTTCCTCTTCATAGACCATATGATAAATTTTTTATATGTACTAAAGTTGTACATTTTTTGGCTCTTCATAGTTCTTAAAACAAATCGCCAACGCTTCTTCATTCATATTTAGTTTCTTTGAATCAAGGGGTATCATGAATTATTCTTTATAATTTAAGTAGCTTCCTTTTTAATTCGATTTGCGTGTCAGCCAAATAATTAATCTAGTTGGTGATGGTCGATGGAAGACTTGTTTTCCTAGAGAAATATTTTCCAAAATTTTAAATCTAACTAGAAAAACTGAATAATGTTTGCCTCGGTGCCAAACACACCGTTAGTCGTCGTACAATATCCAAGGACAAAGGAAGACCTAATCTTTGATTTAATGGTACTGTTTGAATTTTCTAAGTCAATATTTATGGTTGACCTTGTTCTTGGATATATGAACAATTTTTTTCTTTTGGAGTAATTACATAATCAAAATGATTACGTGCATACAGAGTGAAAGATGAATGTCACATGAATGACACGCATATGACTTAAAACCTTATCATAAATATTAAATATTAATAACAGCAAGTTTAATTTTACTTGAAAAGTTGTAAGAGTATTCTTTGATAATTGAGACATAATTTTCAACTTCTCGAAAATTTGACCAAACATATTATAGGATACATAAAATGAAAAGAAGACAATAGTATACATACCTACATGAACTTAATTATCACTAAATATTTTTATAATGATATTAAAAGAAAATCATTATTACTAAATGCCTTTTTCTGTTATAGTAACTCTTCGCAAAGTTGTAAGCACGTCTTGATAGGGTCAAAGGCAGATATGGGTTATCTAAATCTATTACTTTTGGCGTGTAGTAATTACTAATTCTATGTTGACAAATCACAAAAATTGAGATGATAAAACATAGGAATATAAACTCATAACATTAAGAATATAA